TAAGCTATATACTCTTACTCACCTTTCTTTCCTCTACCACCTTCACATTCATCCCCCCCTTTCCTCTCTCTCTCTCTCTCTCTCTCTCTCTTTTCTTGATGTTTGTCCTTTATTGACTATATATCTCTCCTTTATTGACTATATATATATATCTCTCTCTCCCTCTCTTCTGGATGTTTGTCTTTTATTGACTATATCCCTCGTGCTTCACGTAACAACATCATGAGGAGACTTCTTCTCTTAAAGGTCAACATAAAGAAGATTATAACATGATTAGAGTTTTCTTAAAGCAAATTAAATGTTACTTGCTATATCGTAAAGAATAAATACATTGACATGAAGTTATTAATGCAACCTAAAAAGCCATGAAGTTCGATCCAAAAATCATTTTGTCTTGTCATGATGATTAGGACTGATCTAAAGTTGAAAATGTATGCATGATTTCTATTTGTTAACTCCAAGTTTTCATTGTCATGATGTGGATAAATACCTTAAGTACTCATGAAGAACATGTGATAAAACAACAACTGAAGATTTTGTTCAGATATCTCTTAATGTTCATAAGATTTGAAGCCTATAATTAGGTCTGTTTCACTCAAATCTCTCTCCTTCTCTCACTAGTGTTTTTGGTTTAGATATGAGTCAAAGTCAAAAGGGAGATGAGCCAAGTAACACGTCAAACCATAGGTTGACTTACTCCATAATCTTATTTTTGCAACACACATAGCTTATAATCTTACAATACAACACAACATGAGAGCACAGATACAATACACATCAATAAGCAAGCACTAATTCCCCCTTTCTTAGCTCTCTTCTTCCATGGATTGCTTTGTTTCATGAAGTGAACAAACACTGTGCTTTCCTCATAATATTTCTGCTCAGCATATCACTCATGTTTTTGCACGTCAGTTGTGGCAAGCTGCTGTTCTTCAGATAGTTCTCCTCCTGGAAAATCCACAAGAAACACAGATGGAGAAAAGTATCAACGTGCCAAATAAACAGTATACTCATCATAAATTTAGATGGTATATGTAATTTATTGATGATGATATTAATTTAATTGATTTTAGATTAAGTAGGAACAAAAGCAAGTATATTAAATTTACTTTTAGCAGTGTCGAATTAAAATAGATGAATACGAAGGCCTTTAAGATATATTAAAGAGCAAGTGTGGGTGCGGGGGCGGTTTAGCCCCGGAGGGTTACAAGTATGTTTGTTCTTGGCTGTCTCCGTAGGAGATGAGATATTGGCAGCCATCACAGTCAATTAAGGCATCAAACTTCGACCAGTCGATATCCCCTTCCCCCATGGATTCAGATAATTGCTGCAGCTGTGCAGAGAACAAGATTTAAACATGGTTCTTACGTAAAGAACGGAAGCAAGCTTTTCAGAACAAATAAGATGATGAGAAACCAGGATTTAAGAACAACCAAGAATCGGATCGGAATACCAGTTGCAGGAAAACAGTTCAATCTTAGGGAGGCTGAGAAAGAGAGAACATCTGAACGACAAACAGAGATCCGTGGAGGATATTTATGAAGTGGATAGCGGTAACATGAGAGAGAGAGAGAGAGAGAGAGAGAGAGAGAGAGAGAGAGAGAGAGAGAGAGAGAA